ACAAAAACATTTTTCTCCTATCCGCTTGGGAGAGTAAGACTTAATATGGTATGAGGAAATTGTCTATTGGAAAGAGTATAAATTGTTGCAAACATTTCCAGAAATTAATTTGGCAGTATTTACAATATTGTTTGATCCTTAGAGATCCATCCTCATTAAGACAACCAATTATTTCCTTGTTGATCTATCCAGTGGAAAGTTTCCAATCCTTTGCATGCTTGACCTTTGGGCTTATCTGACAGATCACATGGCCTCCCTCAAAACTCTTTTTTCACTCTATTCACACTCCTTGCATGATCTCACCTGTCCTGGACGTTATAAGCTCGAGCTGAGTGCTGTCAACTTTCAAATGTGCACCAGCAGGTGAGACTTCAAGCCCGTCCATCCAGGAGCTCCACAGCCAAGTCCCTATTAAATGAGTGCCAAGAGTTAAGCACAGGGTCAGATACATGACACCTGTTGCCACCGAGAGTTTTGTTGGCTGTAATAGTAATGCGAAATCTCCAGGCCTATCATCTGTGTGTCACTGGGTGAGTTCAAACCATCAATCTTTAGGTTAGTGGCCAAGCAGAAACCTATTACCCCACTAGGGGTCTCAAGTGAAAGGGCACTAGAGAGAAATAGGCAAATCTACCATTCAAAGAGATTCCATACATTTTCTCCATTGATGAGTCAGGCAACAAAAAATACATAAAGATACATAAAATTTGAGTAAGTCAGAGCTCATGGAGGCAGAAGCCAGAACCTACCAGTAGAAAATATTTTCTCCTCAAGCACACACCAATCATAAATCTAATCATAATCAAGGCCACAAAGACTTGCTTTCATCAACAATGAAAAAGTAAAGGCTTGAAGGAAGTATGGAAATATACAATGTAGCTCTTGTATGACAACTCAGCTCCATCAGGAAGTCCTCCTTAATCACCCCAGTTAACAGACTACGTATTCTGCTCGCTTCTTTAGCACTGATCCCACGACCTGCTCTCTTCACACTGGCGTTTAGGTGTGTGCACTAGAAACTGCTGCTGTCCAGTCAATTCTGACTCGCGGTAGCCGAACTGTGCGTCGGAGTAAACTGCGGCCCACAGGGTTTTCTTACAGATCACCAGGCCTTTCTTTTGCAATGCCACCGAGTGGATTCAAACTACTAACCTTGCCATTAGTAGTAAAGCACAAACAGTGCCACCCAGAAATCTATATAAATGACACAATACTATTCCATATGTGTACATATCTCCCCCCAATTAAAATCTCATTTGTGTACTGCTTTGTTCTTAAACCTGAGAAAGGAAAGGGCTCACCTAAGTAGGTGAGTGAATGAATGACATGCTTCAGGGAGAAGGCCTTTTGAAGGAGGGCAGCGGGAAAGGACAGCACCCTTCATTTCACCGTCCTCTCCAAACCCAAACCAAATCCCCTGCCAGTGCGACCCTGTAGGAAAGACTAGAACTGCCCGTGAGATTTCGAGACTGTAAACCTTTATGGGAGTAGAAAGCCTTGTCTTTCTCTCTCAGAGCTGGCTGGTTTCAAACTGCTGACCTTGCGGTTAACAACTAATGTATTACCACTATGTCGTGCCTCAATATAGCAACTGAACTTAAACTTGAGATCCGAATTCTCAATGTAGGTCCAGGCGCAATACTGTACCTGAGTTTTGTCTTCACTTACAGAAAGGCTTAAAAGGGCTTTGGCATTACCAAGGAATACTGTGGAGATAATAAAAATTTGGAACTTACAATGGACTCAAACATGGCTATGATTACGTGGATGGCACATCAGGAGTGTTTTGTTATTATATGTAGAACTGCTGCGAGTGGGAAATGACTTGATAGCACCTAACAACTAACAGAAGTACAATTCAAGGCGAAGTTCCTCAGCAGGAAAACTTCCTCTTTTCAAGCATCCTGATTAATAATGCCTAAGAATTGCCTATGAGTTTCAAACTAACAGGTTTTTGAACTTATCAGCCAGGTTGGGGAGAAAAGGAGAGCAGGCAGCCTGTTTCCCTAGTCTCGGAAACGACATGGAGCACTTAGTTCTCTGTCCTACAGGCTCACTAGAAGTCAGAAGCATCTCGACAGCAGTGGATTTGTTTTGATGAGTTTCCTGGGTGGTGCAAATGGTGAGTGGCAAGTTCCCACACTGGCACTAAGTCCTGACCACCTAAACTTCTGAAAGAGCAGCCACTTAAAACCCTACAGGGCACAAGTCTATTCTGACACACATGGGGTCACCCAAAGTCAAATAATTCCAGATACTCCTAGAAACTAAACCGATATCCATTTTATCAAAAACCCAAACTGAAAATAACCAGAAAACTTTCTCCCTAAAGAGTTGGGAAAAAAAGTTGGAAAAGAACACGGCATCACATAGAGATGGCATCCCAAATACTATTTGAGCTATGTTTAGGTTATTACAAAAACACACCAATGAAAAACAGGATCATGTGAAATATAAGTACTTTATTTACATACTTGCTGTATATACTCATGTATAAGCCAAGTTTTTCAGCATATTTTTAATGCAGTTTTTGTGATAAAATTAGGTCCCTCAGCTGATATTCAGATCGGCTTATACTCAAATATATATGGTGTTTAAATATTTTTTCCTGAACCATAAATAGGTTATAAGTTATTCTAAAAAAAAAAAAAAAAGTTATTTTTTCTTCAATTAACTTTAATTATGAAATCATTTTATTGGGGGCTCTTACATATAACAATCCATACATCCATTAGATCAGTGGACATGTACAAATGTTGCCATCAACAATCTTCAATTACTTTTTTAAATTAATCTTAAACTCAAAAACGTTTTAGTGTTTTACATACATAGAAAACAACTCCTCACTATATGTTCTCTATTAAGACTTAACTTCAGACCTCCCTATTTAGAAAGTGCATGTTATCTATGAGTTCTCTGGTGTGCAGTAAGATTTGACCTCTGGGAAAAGGCTTTCCCGCATCTGTTACATTCATAGGGCTTCTCTCCTGTGTGAGTTGTCTGATGTCTAAGGAGATGAGACTTCTTGATGAAGGCTTTGCCACACTTAATACATACATGGGGTTTCTCTCCTGTATGAATTCTTTGATGTGTAACAAGCACTGATCTGTTGCCAAAAGCTTTGCCACATACAACACACTGGTAGGGTTTCTCTCCTGTGTGAAATCGAGAATGCTTATACAGAGATGAACTGTACCTGAAGGTTTTCCCACATTCCTTACACTCAAAGGCGTTCTCGAGGGTGTGGGATTTGACATGCTGAGTAAAGGAGGAATGCCAAGAGAACGTTTTCCCACACTCACTGCATTCATAAGGCTTCTCTCCAGTGTGAAGTCTCTGGTGGACCATGAGTTGAAATTTACGTATAAAGGATTTCCCACAATCATTGCAAACAAAAAGTTTCTCTCCGGTATGAATTTTCTGATGCATTTCCAGGTATGTCTTCCTACTATAGGCTTTTCCACAGTCTTTGCACTCATGACTGTTTTCTTCCTTATAACTCTTATTGTAATTAAGTAAGTTTACATTAGGCTGCAAACTCTTTCCATAGGATTTACACTGATAGGGTTTTTGTCTCGTAGGATTAAAACTTGGGCTCACATTATAATGATGGAGTCTCTCCGTAGGTAAGATTTCATTGACTGCAAATGAAACGGAGTTCAACAAACTGTCTTTGCTTTCTTGGTGCTTCTCTGGTTCATCAACATGTAGGAAGTCGGCTTCTACAAAGAGTACAGTAAAACATTCCTAGTTAATTTTTCTCACCAATATGTTAAAGAAAGAAACTCCTAAGGTTTCCAATCTAATCTCATTCTGTAACAAATCTTCCCCCGTCCCCCACTGCTCCTGAGCTTTCAGAATAAAACTGATAAAGAGGAAATAGGAGCAAATGACAATAAAGAGAACAAATGACAACTTACGGCCTACAGAACAGCAGTGAAATAGCCACAAATTGGGTACAAAGGAAGTCAAAAGGTTGCTCTGGGTTCAGGATTAGCTAATAGAGGGAGGAGAGCCCATGGTGGCGCTCAAGCTAAGAGAAAGGGTTCCTAGAGCAACACGAGACAAGGGAGCTAAGGGAAAATATCAGGGGGCAGACTAGGTTTAGAAGAAGACTACAATCAATCTTCACCACATAATTCCTGGACTATCCCTACTTCCCTCATTAGATCTCTTCTTTCTCCTTAGCATCCTGCACAACATCAATCCTCATAGAAGAACTCTTGTACCTCCAGGCTTCTCACACCAACAAGCCCCCATCTGAGGTCATGTATACACGAGGCTCCAATTCAACTGACAGCTCGGATTCATTCTTTCATGTGCTTGGAAGTCCAGGAGCACAAACGTCCAACAAGGCGTTCGAGGGAAAGTCATCCTTGGCCGCGGCACAGACTGCCTACTCACTCGTTTTATTCTGGCTGAGTTTCCATGTATGAATGTGCTTTGATCAGTACTGATTTCACGTCCTCTTTCCATCTAACAAACGAGTCCCCAGAAAGTTGCTTTGGTCCTAAAGCCATAATCATCACTCGTATTCTCAGAGCCCTACAAATCCCAAACCCATTGCGCCATTTTAAAAAGGTTTGGGGAAGACTATCATCCCCCATACTTGAGCTTCTTTCGTGTGGAGGGAGTATTGCTACAACACTGCTGGACTCTTAGCCTTTGTCTCCTCTGTGGAGTTGGACTGAGTTGTGAGCTCCAGTTAGCAAGCATTTCCATATGCAGCTGATCTGAGTAGGAGGAATTGGTTCCTTTCTTCTTTACTCTGTAGCACAAACAATAAGCAGCACTGTCCTGTTTTGCTTTTAGCAAAGATAACCAACAGGAAAACTCAGGGTAATCACCCTGGTAAACAAAACGATGCATGATAGAAATTCACCCATGTCCTCTAAACATGCACTTGCCGCTGGTTCTCAATAAGTAACTTGCTTTCTGTTGCAGGCCTTCTAGACATCTAAAGAACTTCAGTCTTCAGCTCAGTTTCCTTCCCACCTTAACTTATCCTCCTCTTTCTCTCATCCTATCTCATATACTTAGATACTCTTTAGAGACCACTGTCCCATAATCTTAAAAAAAACTTTTTACTGTAAGCTCCACTTAAACTTCTAAGACAAGCTAATACAGTGTTTCACAAAGTATACAAAAAAACACTTCTAAGACAATTCACTAGTGATTGTAGCATTCATTTAGACAACCAGAATAAAGCTTCAATGCTAATGTGCACTGAACAAGTGTTTCAAATGTGATAAAATTTTATATCATGTGCCTATATGTCTTTCCAAGGACAACGTATACACCTGAAAAATGGTAATGGGTTTTCTGCTCTGAAGCTTTCTTAGTAAACACACACAAAAAGTGCTGAATGTATAAAGAAATATCTCCACAATGCTTGCCTCCACATAGTACATTAATAAGATTGTTACCTGTACATTATTATGTGTTCAGTAATGGTGTAAAACCAAAAAAAAGGTGCATCACATTCTCTCCAGGGAATCATATGACAAATATGCCTTAAAAACTACAAAGTTTTTTTTTTTAAATCCAAGGCAGGAGATGTCAGGCTTCCATAGACAAGCCATAGGAGGCAAGGCACAGAAGTTCCAAGCAGGTAGAGACCAACCTAGGATAGTTACCAAGTATCAAGAGATTGAACTGTGTGCCCCCAGGATGTGTCTTGGCTAGGCCATGACTCTCAGCTGTGTGGCAGTTATATAGTGATGTAATCATCACCCGTGAGTTCTTACATGATGAACCAATCGGGGTTTAAGGTGGGATGCAGCACTCATTAGCCCTCACTCATCAGCGGTGACCTCATTCCCAAAGGCTCCCATCGACTTGGCTTTGTCACTCACCTGGATCACTCCAGAGTGGGTCTTCTCCCTCCTCCATCCATGGCTCTTGTCCTTTCTCCAACTTGAGGATCATTTTTGAATTGGAAACTGGGCACCCTGTTTATGACAAACAATACAGCTGGGGATAAAGTGCTAAAAGACAACTTCCTTACAACTCAAATGTGCCTCCTTGGGTCTCAGGGCCTTTAAAGAATGGCAGATACCCCCCACTATCATGATCCCAACTCTACCGTACAAATCCAGCTAGACCAGAGGATGCACACTGGTACATATAGGAACTGGAAACACAGGGAATCCAGGCCAGATGATCCCTTCAGGACCAGTGGTGAGAGTGGCGATACCAGGAGGGTGGAGGGAGGGTAAGTTGGAAAGGGGGAACCGATTACAAGGATCTACATATAACCTCCTCCCTAGGGGACGGACAACAGAAAAGTGGGTGAAGGGAGACGTCGGACAGTGCAAGATATGGCAAAATAATAATTTATGAATTATCAAGGGTTCATGAGGGAGGGGGAAGGGGAGGGAGGGGGAAAAATGAGGAGCTGATGCTAGGGGCTTAGGTGGAGAGCAAATGCTTTGAGAATGATGAGGGCAATGAATGTACAAATGTGCTTTATACGATGGACGTATGTATGGATTATGATAAGAGTTGTATGAGCCCCTAATAAAATGATTTAAAGAAAAGAAAAGAAAAGAAAGAATGGCAGATGGGCTTTAGAACAGAAAAGACCCCTTTTTTTCTACTTGTGAGGGAGAAGCAGAAACAGTCTCTGATCCCCATGAAGATTAAGAATCTTTGGCCATTGAAATTCAGGGCCAAGTCCTTTTCTTGATAATTTACAAAGTACCCTTTATTTCCTCCTAGGTGGGAAGTTCTCTTGCTCCTTGCTATAACTGGTGAAGGTGAGTGTTTCATAGTTCTGCGTGTTCCTGTGAAACTCTGGAGGAATCCTCTGAAGAGCTCACTACTCCTGCTCTTCCCCATTCTGTATCTCTCATCTTCTCGATTTCCTGAGAAGTCCACTTGTTTCACTTTACTGGTCACCTTGCTCTCACCCCTAACCCTCTCCCTTTGAGACGGGCTCTTACAAACTAGATGTCCATTAGGGTCTGGGCATCCCTCTGCAGGGTCAGAGGAACTTATTATATGTGAGATGGTCTGGTCATTCTAAAAGGTCGGATCTGTCAGATCTTTTGTAAAAAGGCATACCTGCCTCTATATGTGCAACTGTACACTGGACTGCCATCAGAAAAAAAGGGTGTCCGTAGCACATTCAACTATCAACAGCCTTCCTTCTTCCGTATGCCTGGTCTTGTTCTGCCTCCACTTAGCTCATCCTTGGGCTTCCTTTGCTTCCTGGCCTTGTAAATGCATAAAACAAATGTGAACTTTGGTATTAAAAAGCTCTGAATTTGAATTCTGACTCTCATCTACAAATGTGCATGATCTGAAGCACATCTTACTTTCTGAGCACCTTAGTCTTCTCACTTATCAGATGCAAAAAATGATATCTGCTCCAGTTGAAATGGGTTCACGTATGTAAAGAATTGTGTGTGTGTGTGCCAGGAACAATGCAAGATGGATCCTGCCCACAAGACTCTAGGAGAGAACAAGAACACCTAACCTGGTGGTGACCTGGACCAGAAAAAACACACACAAGACACCTGATTCATTGGTAATGACAATTAGCAGAGTCCATTAACTAGTATTAAAAAAAAACCAGCATCCATAATAGATCAGACATGTTCCCTCCACCCCCTAGCTCAGGCCCCCTGCAAGTGTCCTAGTACATAAACCCACATCCTATACTGCTGTGCACAGGTGGACTTCTACTGGGTGACTCTCAATACTTCAGCTGTCAGACCTGGGAATCTTGGGGCTGGCCTGCCTGTAAGCTACCTAACAAAGCTAGATACAATCAACCTGATTCTACCTTCCTACACCCCCATCCCCCGGAATCCAACCTGTGCCTCTTGGAGATCCTCCTGCCATGGGTCTGTGGGTACTACACAGACCCTAACCTACAGTAGGTGCTCAGCACAGGATGGCACATGGCTGTTCTCCCAGCCTCAGATGAAACTACTACATGGTATACATCCCACCTATACTTGAGGCTAACCATGACCAAATGAGAGGTCAGAGAAAAATCCTTATTTTGCTCCATATTTGAATCTAACTATTTTTATTTTAGCTAGAACATTTCCCTCCACATTGTTGGAGGGAATCACTCAAACACAGAAGTCAGGCTTTTCTTATTTTCTGGTTAAGGTCAAACTTTACTAATGCTTCAGAATGGTGACAGCTTTCATTAATCTTAAACGAAAAGGACCAGAAGTGGACACTGAATTACAGTGAAAAGATTACCCATTGTCCTTACCTACTGAGACAAGATTTCTATAGTTTTCCAACATCACATCCCAATACAGGTTCCTCTGAGTAGGATCAAGCAGTTGCCACTCGTCTGGGGTGAAGTCCACAGTCACATCCTGGAATGTCATTGATCCCTGTAACAGCACATCCACAAGATAATCATTTTCATGGTTAAGGAGTTTGCACAAAACTGTATATGATTACTATGATACACTTGATACAGAAATACAATTTGTGAGGGATTTCTAGCAACAACTATACATTGCGATAGAAACAAAGATCATATTAAACATATTCAATCAGTGTCAGGACAATTCAGGGAGGGAAGAATATTCTTTTTGATAAAACTATATATTAACATACAACAGAATGAAGTTGAATCCCTAACTTACATCACATACAAAATTGATCAAAAAATGAGGGGACCAGAATAAATTTAAGAGCTAGAACTATAAAACTCGTAAAAGAAAATATAGGATTAAATCTTTGTGACCTTGGATTAGATAATGGTTTCTTAGATATGACAGAAAAACCGGGGTGACCAAAAAAAAAAAAAGAGGATAAACTTCAAAATGTTGAACTTTTGTTCTTCATATTTACCATCAAGGAAAATGAAACATAATCCCAGAATGGGCGAAAATATATTTGCAAATCACAAGTGTGAAGAGAGATTTGTATTTGGATATGTAAAGAACTCTTACAACTCAACAATACAAAGGCAAATAGCCAATTTAAAAACTGGACAAAACCTATGAGTAGACATGTATCCAAAGAAGACATATGTGGCCAATATGCACATGAAAATATGTTCAGCACCGCTAGTTATTAGCAAAATAACAATCAAAACCACAATAAGATAGCACTTTATACCCGCTAGGCTAGTTAACGTAAACAGAACAAATGCTGACAAATGTCGAGAAATGAGAAGTCTTCTACACTGTTAGTGGGATCATAAAATGGTGCCGCTACTTTGGAATGCAGTTTAGAAGTCCCTCCAAATGTTCACCATCAAGTTCCCATTATGGCCCTGCAAGTTCACTTCTCAGGATGTTCTCAAGGGAAATGAAAACATGTCCACACGTACAAAACCACCCACGATGGAGAAACAACATGAGTGCCCATCAAGCAAGGGACGGATAACTAATGTGTCGTGTATAATCCATACAATGGAATATGATTAGGCAATGAAAAGGACTGAAGTACTGATAGATGTTACAGTACGGGTGAAACTTGAGAATAATGAGGTGGATGACAGAAGCCAGTCACAAAGACCACATTTCCATGAAATGCCCAAATAGGCAAATCCACAGAAATACCGTTTCCCCGAAAGTAAGACATCCCCCCGAAAATAGGGCCTACTTACAGTTTTGCCTCTCGCTGAAATATAAGGCATCCCCCCGAAAATAAGGCCCCCCCAAAGCTACTGTAACTCTGGACTCTGGACTGTAGCATGGGCACCGCCATGCAGCTCACTGTTGGCCGCAGTTCAGCCGGAGCAGACAGGAAGTGCGAGGTCTCTTAATAAAACAATAAATGTGTACCGTATTCTTCTTCATGGAAAAATAAGACATCCCCTGAAAATAAGACCTAGTGCATCTTCGTGGAGTTGGACTGGGAATAGGGGAGAAAGGAGAGAACAGGGATGGGGCTTCTTCTTTGCTTTAATTGTAATATCTTAACAGTTATTAAAACTACTGCTTAAATAGTCTTCATTCATTCTCCAAATATTTAATCCTCATTAGATATTGTACTAGTGATACAAAAAGGAACAAAACTACTACTGCTCTTAGATCTTGTCTATTAGCTCCTACAAAGCCAAAAATAAATGCAGTAAGATATCATGGGAGCTAGGAAAATTTTACTCTTGTGCATACCGTTATGACAATAAATGGAAGCACATTGCTTTTCCCACATAGTTCAATCAAAAAACCAAAATCATGTTTAATGGTTACATATTAAAAGTGACACAATTAAAATCGTGTGGCTATCGATCCACAAAAGAGATAGTTAAGACCCTACAGAGCAAGGATCAGCAAATTGCAACTTGTGGACCAGTCTCATTTTGGTAATAAATATTACTAGAACAAAGCCATTATCTATTCACTTATTTCCACAACAAGGACAGTGCTGAGTAGTGGCGACAGATGCTATATGACCCTCAAGCTGAAAGTATTTACTATGTGACTGTGTTAGACAGGGTTCTCTAGAGAGATAAAACCAAATTGCTGATGATTTAATATATTTATTTATAAAGATAATTAGATATATAACAAGAAATGAACTGTTAAATCATATACAGATAA